AATCTGCTGATTATGTGTTAGCATCATCCTTTTTGTTAATCGCGTGTGATTACTGTTATTCCTATATGTCTGTTCGACCTGAACTGTTCTTAAGGCATTCGGAAAACAATTTTGCTAGAGCGCGTAATGTATGTGTTAATAAAAATAAGCCTGGAAATTTTTCCGTTCAAGGCTACCGAATGAGAACACGTTTTACTCGCGCAAGACCTTAAAAGTCACCAGATATGTGCGTTTGTCAAGGCTTCATTGTTGTATCACGCAATACTTACACAATATAAATAAGCCTTGTTCTCAGATTAATTTAAAGTCGAATGCATCAGCGGACTTCAGTTAACAAGTAGAATGCATCATATTCAAAGTTCATCTAAAACTGAAGGTATTTGAAAGAGATGAACAAATGGTTACATAAAGTTGTATTCTTAGAAATTACTACTAAAAATTAAAAACCATACGCCATAAACTTCGTTTATTGTATCTGAAAATCAGGATTTTACATATTAATCCATAATCGCTCTATCTACTGCAACGCTCACGTACTATTTTTTATTAGTGGATTTGAGATGCGATCAACTATTCCGTGACTGAAAACCCGCAAAGTACACGGAAAGCAAAGCTAATATACCTTTCACAAAACTGTGGAACAGTCAACTGTTCGCCTTTGTGGAAGACCAATATTTTTAGGAAAAATCATCTGTTCTCAATTTATGATCGGTGTACGTAATGGAAAATAGGTTGATTCAGAGCTCTTGACCATAAGTAACTTGCGACAGTGTTTTTCTTCTATTACTTTCATTGCGATTTTTATGTGTATTTTTCAAACTCCCGAATATCGTAAGCTCGAAACTAGCGAGACAAGCAAATATGGGCTTTGTTCACATATGTTGTTTCACATACATGACCTATATGTTTAATTTTAAAACATAATTTCAATTCAGAACCGAAAGTACTCGAATATGAAGTAGATATGATAACTGAATTAATAATAGAAATAAAAAAACTCACACGTAACCATAAAGTCTAAACGGACTTGGTAAGTTGATGTAGAAAAAATACTTAAGAATGTTACTCTTTTTTTTTTTTCACATATCACAAGTATTGGAACATGTATAAACCTTGAGTGTTATATTCATGAAATTTGCTAATATCCACTACGAATAAGTAAAGACTAAAGATTGTATAAGCCGTTACATAATGGACCTGCTTGCTAAAAATGATTTTCATCGACTTGTCTAATACGACCGCTTACACGAAAGCACTTTTTCTGTTAAGGAGCTTCCTTGATTTCGTTCAGACCACTCGACTGTGGGTGCCCCTCCAGACGCTTTCGATTGACCGCTTTTTACAACCCGGATACAAGAATCGTCCCCGACTGGTCTGGGGACCACTATGCCAAGCACTCCTCGGCCACAGTGGCCATTTCAGCTGGGTTCAAACATACGCAGGCATCAGACCTCCCATAACCAGCAAACCTTCCCCTCTAGCGGTTTTTTGGTAATAGCGTCCTATACAGGCTGTAAGAGCTTTCCTATCAGACTCGTCACAATGCGAAATTTAGGTTGAACCTGGAACTGGGTAACAAGCTCGGTGCAACGTTGGACCACAGAACATTAAAGAAAAAGAGCGCGTGATGAAAGTACTCGGGCAATAGCCACAGCAGCGCAAACTAGCGATCGCCGATGTGGCACTGCCTGTTTCGTCTGTCTGTTATAAACATCTTTCATCTACGACGAGCTTTAGCAGAGAGATCACTGCAAACGGACTCAGTGTGGTCCAGATTTAGGTTTTTGTCCTGTCCCTTTCAGCAGAAAACGACCTGTAGTTCAAGAGACTGCGATGGCTGTGCCATTCATTAGCAGACTTGCAAAATTCGTTCGCACGCCACTACTGACCTGAAACCCGGCTATAAAGTTTTCTTAGAATAATTATGGTTAGAAGAGCTGTGGTGACTAACACGATGGATGGTAACATCCCGGTTGATTAAAATGTTTTTTTTTCACAAAGGCTGACCCGAGCATTATTCGGCACCTTTACCTTTTCATAGTGTTTAACTAAAGTTTTATAGCTAATATATGACTAAACGACTCTGTGGTACTGAAATACGGGTTGCAATCGCAATATTGCTTGTGAATAGGATACAATTACAGTAGACAATAGTATGTACGATGACTTCGTTCCTTTATACTCAGCCGTGTCCGGGTAAACAGCAGCCTAAGGGTAAAATTCTGTCCAGTGACGTGAGCGGTGCCTGCAGCTAGCCCCAGTGGCTCCTGTCGTAGATCAATAAGTATAAAACATAGTGTGGCCACTCGGGTGCCAATAGAGTCATATTAGCGGCAGTCAGTCTGCGCTGACTTGAAGCCAGTTCTTACTTAGTCCGAAATAATCGTCTCTTCTTTCTATCGACACCTCGGCTACCATTGTCAATGTATGTAAAAAGATAGAAAAACAATTTATCTATGTAATCGTGCATCTGGTTTGTGCATGACAGTGATGTAGCGCATAGCGGCTATAGTTTAAGAAGATTAACTTACAAAAGTGGCATGCTGTTCGTTTCTTTTTTTAAATGAATCACTCATTATTACAAATACCTTCCGGGTAAATATGAGAAACGCCAACTGGCCCATTACGATGCCCATTCGTTACCTCTATTTAAATTAAACCCGTGCTCAAAAACTTTACTAGTACAAGGGTGATCTAACATGCGTATCAGTCGTTTCGTTTATTTGCTGCAGGAATGATCGTTCTTTACATACCTAATATGTTTTTCAACGCATAGAGCTTAGTACCAGCCATAAAACCCGGAAAGAACGATTAAGAAAGCTATGCTCACTGATCCTTTATCTTCAATTCTCTCAACCTGACACGTCATCATCGACAACATGAGAGAAAAAAGGTTTTGCCGTACCTGCGGAGTTTTACAGTCTCGTACTTTACCCATAGGACAGTAACACACAAGCAGCGTAACGGTTGATACTAAAACCTCTGCAGTAGGACATGGGATACAATAACGTCCGAAAGTTTGTCTGCCTGCAAGAGAGTCCAGAGAATCCCATGTGCTGTACTGTAATCTACTAGCCATCGGGCGAGGTGAGACAACATTAGAACAAAGAGCTCAATAAGCGTTAACAAGAATCACTGGCAACTAAAATTGTGCCAAAAACGTGGGGAGCAATAGAGCAAAGGCGTTTGGCTACGAGTGCGGAATTCACAATTATGTAGGCGCTTTTTAGTAGCGATCAGATTGAAACGCAACGGAAAAAAAGCTCCCAGAAGCGCAAAAGGCAATAGCAACAATAAGGATCAACAAAATCATATAAGACACAAAATGCTACAAGAAAGTGCAAAAAGGGTAGAAACAAAAAAGTCACCCGGAACTTGGGAAATATGGAAACTCGGGACGCTTAGCAGTTCGCAGGAAGAATAAAGCGTGGACCCGATGAGCTTCCGATGAGTCCGCCATCTCATCTTCAATCTAAATAAATTTATTTCTACGAATATTTCATACACTGTTCCATTTTGTGATCGCCCCAAAGACTATTCTATTAAGTTCACAGTTAACAAAGCATCACATCTCGTGCACACTTACACTATTATAGGATTTTCAAGACCTGGGCGAGTCTATTTGACTACTTCTAGAATAGGTCCGTCAAAAATTCGAGGACAGCTAGCATGCGACATGATTGACATCACTAACCTTCAAAACGCAAACATTCCTCCGCATTTCAGCTTTATTTGACAGATTATTTTTACTTCCAGTGACTATTTTGAAGTCTGATGCTCTACATGTCACATGGTTATAAATGTAAGGCTTTTTTGACAAGACTTATTCGCCTGCAATTATCAGTGATGAAAAGAAAACGCCGATGCTCTCCCCAAACTTCAGTATCATGCCGAAATTTAGCTGGAAGACTTCAGTTTAACGCTTACCTAAATTTTTACAATCTTGCGCCACTCGGGCAGAAAACCTGGGCTCGTGGGAAAGAGCAAGTAATCCTTGTAGTTTATGAGCAACAACTCGCGGACCTCAAATAAAATTAAAGGGTTAACCTATGTTTATAGACACAATTCATACGAACGGTGATTAGAAAATATAATTGGGTACATTAAATGCCATAGGTCAGTAGATGTAACAACATTTTTTGGACTGGGTCAGTTTCTCAAAACACGCCATTCACACTACTTAGAACATTCAAAGTGAGAGCTCAGCAGGAAAATATCTACGGGACTCTCGTTTGTCTATTTAGTTGCAAATGGGTCTTCAGAAACAAATTAAAACAGGAGTAAACTAAATTAACTATAAGATGCACTAGTTGATTTGATAGCATGATAACTATATAAGATCTGTTTACATAATGGGGATTCATTATAGGAATCAGCCTATGTCAAAGCCTGCTCATTTAGTTCTCTATGTTGTTGAAACTGAGAATTCATTTCAGTTAAGAGTAAGTACCGTTACGCTATTCCTGTCTGGGGAATCACTAAGATCACCTACGCACGTTTTCAGATGTACATGTATACAACACTCCTCAAAGACACAACTTCATGAACGAGAATCAAGTGGTTACGTGCAATGCGGATGGCTGCGAGGCCCTGCTCCAACAATGAAAGTGCATTTTGAACGAGAGAACATGGCTTCTTTGCTTAACAATCGCCTATGTCGATTTTACAGTCTACGAATTCTTTTACTGGCATCGTATCATGGCCAATGGTTTTTTTCACCGCCTGGCTGAGCACATCGAACACTGTAGAAAATTCGAACACCGTAAACCTATTCAGAACTACATGAACTTAAACAGGTCCCACCTGTTTTTAAACTGGTAAACCCATTTACCAGTTCTTAAGCTATGAACTTTGTATACTTCAAGTGAGTGTGCTGTTCTTTAAGAACTAAGCTGGCCGTGCAATAACAAACAGAACAAGCTTCAGTGTATGTTTCATACTTTTGGTAGCTTAATAATAGTAAAATAAATAATAATAATATTAAAAGGATAACGCTGTAATTATGAAAATGATTTCACATTTATTTGAGATGATGCAAACAATTATGAAATTAAAACAATCAGTGGACAATTCATTTACCTCATTTAATAGACGATGCAGCGCAATAAATGAAAGTCTTACTGGCCGCATTCTCTACTTTATTTTTTTTGCATGCGGAAACCTCTTAAAAGCGATTTAATTATAAATATATGATAGTTACTTTCCGTTTGTTTTCTTCGTAATTCGCGCTTGTATAAACATTTCCGTGTAATTTTATGGCGGCTTCACGTTCTCATAGTTCGCCATAACTGATTCCGTTTGATGGAGTATGCAATTTCTGTGAAGCTAAAGTAGAGACTGATAACAGCATTACGCTATCTGGGATTGACGCCGCATTTCGAAGAGTTTCAACGTTAGTGCGCGGGATGGTATTGAGTGGTTGAACTTTGGGAACACATAGAAAGCGTGCAACGGCGGCCGTCACATTCGACGTAATGTATTATATTAATTGATATCTAGAAATCGGCGCTACAGTCATCTATCGGTGTTATGATCGTTGATATTATAACACTACAAACCAAAAAAGAATTGCAAAGACGAGACTTGCTATGAATATAATGACGTTGGCGCCTCGTCTCCTTAAACCATACGGCAGCAGAGGCCCGACCGCAGGATCAAGCATCTCATCGAAAGCTAAAAGCATACCCAAGCCGCATGCGCTAAAACCAGAAGTACGTAATGTCATATCCAGAGTTTTGTTGAAGTAATCTCCTGCTGAGGTTTTGTTTAAGTCAATGCTTTGGGTCTCGGCTCCTTCTGGCTCATTCCTTTCTACTGGCATTGGTGATGGCTGTATGACGCTTTCATGACTTTGAGCCTCATTTTGAATGACAAGTGGTTCTTCCTTAGAGGGTGAAACAGCGGGGTATTTTTGCTTTTCTTCTAAATCAGTCAAAATGCCAGCTCCGATGTTCGCTGAAATCTCTTGAACACTCTGGAAAGTATCATATTTCTGTTACTCATAATGCAGTGGTATTTCTTCCAATGACAATAAAACAAAGTGATTGGGCTTAGATAAAAACAGGAAATCCTTTAATAAAAGGATCTATTAGAACATTCGAATAACCTTAATATAAAGAGTTTTTACCAATGGCTGTCCCCAATCAAAATAATATCGCAAAGGGGTATTGCAATCACGTATATCAAGAACAATTATAGTTTTCCTATACCATGTCCTCCTCGAAGGATGTTATATTTTGAATGCAGGCGTCCTTGGAAGATAAACGTGCCCGGAATACATCTTCGTAACCGTCACCGAAAGTCATCAGAGGGGGCGAATCACTTCGAAACTCCGGAAGAGCCGGGAAATCCTTATGCGGATACTTCGTCGCGCGGGGTAATTCAAATGCCTAGAAATGGCGTTACAGGGAAAGAGGGGCCAAAATCAGACAGTAGCCATCGTTAGCAAAAACCAAAAACTTTGCATTGTATTATCACACCACATGAATAACGCAGGAATAACAACTATAATATAATAAGCAGAGAAAGCCAGAAATAGAGAGAGAGAGGGGGGAGGGAGAGAAAGAGAGAGAACATAATGGCAAACGATCAGGACAGAATTTGTAACGGAAAACGTACCAACAGGTTTTTTTTCTTGTATAGCTCTGAATACAAAAAAGGATTATAAGCACTAGAAATCCTTCCGTTGTAATATATATAATGCTCAGAGATATATTTCAATCAATGGAGCAAAACGACGGGAAAAAAAGTGTAAATAAATATGTTTTGAATAAATATGAGACGACAAAAACAAGTGTTGAAAGGCGCGCAGTAGTCAACTGGCTAAAGACGCGAGGCTCGCTGCCAGGCTACTGCTAGTGTGTGATACAATGTATATTGAGAAATAAAGTGGGGTATTATTATTATTTTAATCCAACTGAAAATACATAAAACTACAAATGTAAAACGAGCTGTACTATTCTTGATATGCAGAACTTATATAACGGTACATCGCACACTACAAACTTTTGTCTAAACTATAGATAGATAGCACTGACTATTAAGAGTATTTTGTAACGTACCGCGGGTTCCATCTCAGTTTGACTACGCTTGCGTGAAAGAAGATCCTTATCCTTTAGCTCGGCTATTATTCTAGCTTCCTTATCGTTATCGTGTTCAGAATTCTCCACTTCATTAAGGCGAGCTTGCTCCTCGATATCGGAGGCCATCGTTGCGTCTATTCGCAATTAAAATCGAAAAGAAGGTTCATATTACATAAGAAGTACTTACAGACTGGCGTGCGGACCCCATTTTCAAAATAGTCTATTGTAAATTATCTAATGGAAGACAGCTAAATTTAACAAACTTCGTTAAGTTTCACGAGCAGTCTTCCCAACATGTTTGCTTCTATACGCTACTGTTACATGGATATTCTAGTTACATAATCCCTGGACATCCAGGCGGATTGCTTTAATTAAAGACTTACTGCACAAGCATAAACAATCACAAATGCTAGAAATAAGCTAAATACAACAAAAACAACAAAGTACATGAAGGCAATGCCTCCTGTCAAAAAAACTAGGAAACAATTTGCTCCACTGCTTAGATCAGGCTTTTGGATAGAACACCCAACGGTTCCAATGAAATACAGGCGCACACTAGGACATTATAATATTCAATCAGATTTCAATCCTCCCATTGACCGCATTTCGGAACGTTTGAGAACTTACCCAAATAAACTACCCGATATGACCTCGTTTAGTTGAAACGTCAAAAGATGATCGACGGACTTCAAAACAGATACTTTCGATAACAGCTAACTTTCAAGTGATGAAAAAAATACAACTAACAACGGCGCCACAGCTGATTTCGTTACTTCGCGGGGAAAGATTTACACGAAGCGACATTGCCTCGAAAGCGGGCTCCGCACCGCCATCTAGATCCGAATCCAATACCAAAAAAGGGAAGGGTAAGTGGGCAAGAGCGCGCCTAGTATAAATGGGTTGAATAAAGTAGTTGAATAAATAGGGCACAAAGGAGAAATGAACGACGACAATACATAATGTTTCACGAGCATACATAAGAAGAGTTATAGTTGCTAGTTACTAATGCGATCAAGTAGCTGGCGTCACTCGATGAAAACAATTATACGCTGAATCTAAACGGATCTAGTTATTCAGCGTTTCCGGTTCTTTTCTTCCGCATTTTGTTATACTTCCACTGACTCTTATTTTAGTTTTACTAATCACTCTTCAGAAAGTCTTTCACAACAGTTTAACTAGAAAACTTAATTTCCATTCTTGTTTTCGCCAACGTTCTGTTTTAAGTCGACCCCTTAATTAAGGGTTAAAATTTATGGATTAATCGAACAGTCGGTTAACAAAGACAGTCATACTTAGCAGCATGCTAAGATCTTCAGCACACAGTCCTGCGGTAGGTTACTGAGTGGTACGGAATTGTACCACACGTGTATATATTGGTTTTGTTTTACACAAGTTCTATCTGCAGGCAAAAATTGAATCTAAGTCGACATGTTGTCTTTTGGTGCCACACTCGTGTCCTCACAGTAATTTTTTTTTAATTTTAAGCAATAGATTAGTAAGTTTCTCTAAGCTTTCATTAAGTTAAGCCAATCCACCACTAACACTTTTTGAATTTGCATAAACAATTATATTTATGTATATAAAAATATTTATATATACATGCTTTGCTTCAAGGCTTTTGATTTTCGGGGCTTCAGTTAATACGAGAAAACGAAATTTATAAATCTTGCATTTGGCTGATGCCTTAGTACATTGCATGCTTAATACAAATAACTATATACAGAAAAAAGAACAAATACAAGAAATAGATACGTACGTAAAATAGAATGCGACATCAGCGAGGATTTCAGATAACGAAAGTGTTATTCACCTGTCTGACGGAGGTGTGTCACAGTCACTTGAATATAATAAACAAAACGCCTACCATATTCCTGCATTTCGCATCGTCTAGGCTTACAGAACTGTAAGTATTTTTACGATCCTAATGTGAGCAGGAACAATATTTTTCAATGTTAGTTTCAATGTTGACGAAGGGCGAAAGCTATAAGAAAACTGCTAGAAGAAGCAAACAGGCAGTGCAAAATAGTAGTTGCTGCGTGCCAAGGAGTGAAAGACGCTACCGCGTGAAACTGCGGTCATAATGGCGGACAGAACCGACAAGCCCAGAGGAGAACTGACATAGTATTTGACCCACTGTTCCTAACAGGGTATCGAAGCCTCTATACTTGCACAAAGGCACCTTTGCCGATGTGTGCACTGCCACAGCGAAAACGAAGCTGACATTTTAGGACAATTCTGCGCTGGAACTGAGAAAGGGGCGGACTGCTGAATAATGGTACTAAAATTAAAAACCGGCAAAAATGAAAAGCAAATAATAAAAGAAAGCATATGCTTTTTTTTATACTGCGAAGGAGCTATTTAAATGTACTAGGATTATTATCATGATGCTAAAAATCGGCTTTAAAATGGCAGTAAAGCATTACATAAATAATTTGAAAATTCAGCTGAAAAAACAATACTTTTAAAGAACAAAGTACAGTATTAAAGATGACCGCGTAATGTGTCCTGGTGCATCCTCACCACGATATACGGACCTGTAATTAAATGAGCAAGTTGATAGAACCGAATTTCAGTCTGTCAACAAGAAGTTGTCCTTTACACTCACCCTGTTGAAGTTCGCTCAAGTTTATGTTTGATTGTTGACCGGTGGACATCTGCGATCCGTTGTGTTGAATGCACTTTGATACCAAGTCTCCGAGTGGTGGCACCACAACTGGAGATAAAAATCAATGAATAAGTTTTGACGCGTTTTATAGGTTACTATATATATTAGTTTTTCAGAAACGCTCACGCTCAGATACTAGTTCATGTCGTTATTACGCAACATTCGAACCGTTCACTGCTTTTGAACATAATATATTTTACACCGACCTTATTTCTCATTCCTTAATCGCAAGCGCCGTTGTTCAGTCTTGAAATAAATATTTATTTATATATTTAGAATTGATACCGTTAAACATCTCCCAATAACCTAGTAGAAGAACAAAAACGGGCTGTCACGTATGTCTATATATTTGTTAGCTCAATTTGTTCTCCCATTATGCATGCGCCCCACTCGAACTGTAATTAGGTGGAAAATTTGCCATTAAAAAAGTTGCCATTATTTTTGAAAGTAGGCAGCAGGTCTTAGAACAAATTTAAACATAAGCCACAAGGGTGGCGCAGAGTAATTGACTGCGAGGGCAAACTTACAGGTGTTATTGATCTTCAGTTCTAGTGACTCCTCCGAATCAGCGTCGGCTGCATGTGTCTCTATTACACGAAGTGGTTTTATTGGCGACGGTGCTCCTAAAATTTTCATATAGATAATTCATAGAGCATCAAAATCTTGTACGAATGGCATTATCATTCCGCTGTAGGCGCGATAATTTAAATACAATGCAGGCATCAATACAACGTAATTTTATAATTATGCAACTTGAAAAGTAGTACTAGAATAAGAATAAGTTTCAATTGAAAAAAAAGTGAACTTAATCTCTTTCTTGTCCGAATAGCGATACTATCAACGTTAAGTTGAAACTCAACATTAGGTAAGTAGACCTGGCATGTATCCGGAACTAGTTCAGGTATTTTTATTCGAGGTTATGTTTACTATGGGGCCAATAAAGAAACAACACGTCGACTATCAAATAATTTAATTGTTGGGTTATCGGAAAAACAAGTTTACAACAAACATGGTATATAAAAACTCAAATGATGATCGATATCTTAAATTCCCTTTTACTTATTCGCTTGAGAAGATAAATTCAGCGTAAGATAATACATTTGAAGGATTAATTGGTTCAAAACTAATACACAACCGGAAATCACATGTAACAAGTAGATAAAAACACGTTTAGAAATTCTTAGCTAGAATGCAATAAAGTTGATACATTATTGGATCTCCATACGTATAGTATAATATTTGATGTTCTGATTGACAGCACGATTGACATGAACAGACTCATGAACACCGCTCTGGAGCATATACAACGGCTGTAAATGTGCTTGGGGTCTATACCTCTATACTGCAGTTGAATTCTCGGTGCTTTGCTGCTACGAAAATGGAAATTGTGATATCTTGGATATCCTACTTATATACGAAGCTTCGTATGCGATGCTACGCCATCACTGACTACTATTTCTTTACAGCTGATGCTTACTAGATAAATATATGTAGTGAAACGTGGGATGATCGATTCCCCATCATAAAGATGCACCTCATTAGATTTCGTACCTCCTCCACTTCTTTGCACTCTGTTCTGTGAACTGGTTTGAATTTACGAAATATTGTGGAAGTGCGACGAAAACGGCGAGAAAGAATTAACTTCCCAAGTGGACCTTATCTATATAAAGTCAATAAATTCGTTGCCTACCAGCTGCTCCGAAATGTTCAACGAAACGATCGACTTTAGACTTGATATGCGAAGGCAAATCCTTTACGATATTTTTCAGGTCCTCTTCGGCGATTTTGATGCTCTGCTGTTGAACATCATCATGGCTGGGGGTGTTTTCGTGTGCGCTATGGGCGGCCACTACTGGATTGTTATCAAGCTTCACCCGAGCTGCATTAGCAGCACGAGTTTCGCCTGCTATTGCTGGCTTATTCTGCGGCTCCTTACAGGTCTCTGTGTATACGTTCTTTTTAATTGTAGCTTCACTGACAGCGTCACCCCGTTCCTCGAGTTGCTTTTCCTTTTGCTCTTGAGTGTTGCATTGTTCCTGTTGTACTTTGTTAGTATCTTTCGAATCAAAAATCTTGTCTCCATCCCCGGCATCTTCCTGATGATCCGGAGATAGCCGCGTCGTTTCGTTGCTGACTAAGACTGTGAACAGAGAAATTGAATAACTTCACTTGGAATACAGTTAACTATTCACAAAACTTCTACTGAGGAGAGAACTTGTGATTTATGGAAGGTTTGTACTGGGAAGTTTGCATGTTATATTGTTATCAGGGATAATATCGCTAATGTCTACACCTGCATCATACTACTGAAAAAACCGCAAATATATCTATCTAACGATATATATGTGGTTTCTCCTTACAGACTGAGACGAGAAGTCTGTTAAGAACGCAGAAAGGTCGGGGATTAACACATTAAACAAAACTCAAGCTATAACCCTGTAAAGGTTTATGGTTCAGCTGCCATTTTAAGTTAAGATGATGAAAAACAACATTATATCTAACTTGATGGAGCCTTCATTTTACTCGATGAAGCTTTTTTGTCACCATCATGTTTTACTTTTCCGACACATGTGTAGATTGTTTACATTCGTCTTGTATATAAAAGAAGAAGATGCTCTAGACAATGCTTAATTTTTCTATCTATTCAATCTAGTGAATATATTTCACGACGATGTCAACAATGACATGTGAGTACTTCTGGTGTTTTAAAAGAAATCGTTCCTTCTGGTCCTTCACGGGTTCGTTGACCATCGCTGGCATAAAATGAAATATCAAATCAGTAAATGTACTCTTGTACAATCATTTATAAATAAACGACGCCTAAAGAAAATAAAACGGATACTACATATACGGCTAAATATAAAACCTTGCGTGTATAAGTACCTACAAAAGATAGCGTAGCAAAAATAGTCTAGGTATCTGGTGCAAATTTCAGCGCATTCGTCCAATCAGATAGTCCTGAAATGTGTCTATAATTTGTGTATTTTATCACAGTGTGCTGCCTATCGAATGGAAGCTTATTCGATATGAATAAATCTGGCATGTTATTGTTATACAACAGGAAAGTGGCGATATACAGCCTGACTCCGATAACTATAACAGCAGTGATTTGCAAAGCGGAGTTCGAAATGTAGTTTCGTTCGGAAAGGGAGACAAGAAGGCTCGACGAAACAAAAATTGATTTTACCTTTTCACTAGTACCATAATAGCAACCCTGCTTCCCTAACACATTGCTGTCACTATTATTTGCCAACACCGCTCATGTGATAAGCAATTGTGTTTTCGATGGTCTTACACACGGATCATGCTCTTAAGTCAGCAACTGTTCTCTATTCGCGCTCATCCTATGACTTGGCACTAACCTGGTATTCAAACTGGTTCAGGTTCTTTCCCAATTTACGTGACCCTCTTAGCAAAGTATACAAAACACCACATGGTGCAATACCGCAGAGTTTTACCAATAAAATCTAGCTGTAAAAATGTCTTAAAATCTTCCCTCTTACCGGAATAGTACTTTGTATCTTCCATGATAATCTATGCGGACGTTCAACACACACAGAACCCGTTACTGTCACGACTGCAGTTCTTTTCAACCCAACGGCTTCTTGGCGTTTTCGTAAACGAACTGCGCATGCAAATGAGGTGGTGTATTTTCGTTAGAAAAAACAGCATAATCTTAAGAGGGCGAAAGAGAGAGAGAGAGAGAGAGAGAGAGAGGAGGGGGAGAGAGAGGGGGAAGGACAGAGAGGGGAGAGAGGGAGAAAGCCAAGAGGAGAGAGAAAAAGATGGTAGCGCCCTCTGGGCCAGAGGGCGCTGTAATGCTATCAGTACGTGGACATCATGATCATCATTAGAATTAGATTATGGTGAAAATCGTATCTTTCCTATGAGCGGGACCTATATTGAATTGTTTAAATAATAGGACCGACATAGGTGACTAGTATTCACATCGATGATGCTAATTCACATTGATGTTCAGGTAGGCTGAATCAACAGAATTACATGCGGGTCCGCTCTGGTCTGTACATGAGATTACGGTTGGAAGAATATAACGTTGAAGGTTCCGCATCCAGGATTACTTAAGCTTAGTATTTAAATTATAGGTTTCTTTTTGTTTTCTTTTAGGTCAGGTTGTTGCCAATAGTTCCCTATAAACTATTCGTGTCCGTTTGTCCTGAAAACGATTGGCCTATGCAAAGTTCATACATTCTAATTAAACTGCTTTTCAAAACGATACTCCAAGTTGATAGAAAGCTGTTCTGACAGGCTTATTTAACCCAGCTTATTACTAATTAGTAGCCTGAATTAAATAAGCGCAATAGAAAATGCGGTCATCTATACCTTATGTCATCTGTATTTTTCCAGCTAGCTGACGAGAAAATCACAAACAGTTTTGATAAAATGCTTATTGCGAAACAGCTTAAGCCTGAAAGAGCAAGAGATCCTCTTTACAATATTGCCAAGTTTGCTGCTTAGGGCTGAAACGGACTAATAAGTTTTGAAATCACTCACTCAAAAAGGCACCTATGGGAAATTCAAATGAGAACTGCAATGAAGGTTTCACCCAGTACTTTTTCAATGTATAATATTTTGATAAAAAATCCAGAGATAGTCTCATTAGCAAAAAAGAAATTAGTTACATTGAAAAATAACTTACTTCTTACGACTGTTTTAGTAATTTAAATCTCTGGTTCATAAAACCTATGTGAGACGATTGAAGCTACGCAGTCGAATGTTTTATTTACGAAATAGCAACATTAGTTTCCATCCGGCCAGGTAATATTGAATATAAGATTCTAATTAATCAAATGCCTGCTTGATAATAATCGCATAAATCCACATACTGCGCCTAACAGCTTCCCCAACCTAAGAGCGAGTTTGGCTGCCTGAGAAATCTAGGAACGATACAGAATAAGCGTTTTCAACAATTAAAATATCATATCATTCAAATTAGAATATTTTTACGGGTACGACATTAATTACAAGTACTTTTGAGTTTTAGAGTTTTGGTTAAGTAATATAGAGGTTTTCTCTCATAATATATCAATATCAATAAATCTAATAATATAATTATAAATAAATATAAAGAATAAATATAAATCAATAAGCTCAATAATTTTACGGTCTCTTTACAGGAGCATAGTTCAAGTCGTGTACTGCTGCGGCACCGACGGTGCAGCTAGTGTGATAGTTAAAGTGAAATTCATATACATACATTTAATATTATTTCTTGTTAATATGGTTATTTGTCAAGTCAATCGTCGGCTCAACACCTTATTTACGATTTTCATACAAACGATTTTAAGATCGGTTTGTTTCATAACATTGATCGTTATGCACATTCGCTTATAAATTGATTATAATATTGTGGCTTTTGCTTACGCCATTTTGTGTCTTACAACTCGGGAACAAAAATATAAAAATTGGAGGATAAAAAATACCTATTGTAATGAGGATGTATAGAGTAAACGATTATTCAGTGTATCGTTGGTCTTCGGTTGCTTGCTTGCTGGCCGTGCCACTATTCCTGAAGAAAGATTGTTTTTGTCATGGAAGAAAAAATTCAGAATTCTGCCGCGTACCCCAAATGTTCAAGTTAATTAATATTCATTGTTGATAAGCTTTCGACTGAATATACTTCCTTAAAGACCTAAGTAATTTTCAAGAGGAATCTTCCACATTGTCGTAGTATCGTAATCTATATACCGGCCGGATCTCATCTGATATCAGATGATACTATCTAGAGCTACTATGGTAATCTGGTAGCTTATTTCGATCTTACCTTTAACACTAGAAAACATTGAGCTACTAACACGCTTCTTTTTTGATTGATTTTGCACAATTGTCATGCTCCAGTTGAATATTTTCACAGTACAAGCACAAATCTGATTAATTAATTATCAGCGACCTTGACAAATGATATGTACTTAGCTGTCGTATGTGAGTTTAACTAGTAGAGGGTTAGCAAGGTTCGCTATTTATCAAAGCTTATTGTAGCTGGTCATGGAGAACGGCAGTCATAGGTCGGTGGCATACGCAGTAAATGGCCATTCCAGCTATTGATCGCATGCAATCTCCTGAAATATTTCTGCACCGACGCTTGAGAATCTTACTGTCATTCTTATTGGCTGCCGTAGGTATCACCAACGAAATGGATTGACGCACGCAATTAGGACTGGATCATGACAAAGCATTTAGGGACTACAACATATTCTAGACCACCCGTACCTGTGTAAGGCGGAAAGCAGGAACAAACGCTTGCTTCTCCTTTGTCAACAGCAGAAGGCGATTATGTTTTTATTATAACTTGGTAGAACGTTCACTCTGGGTGAAAAGTTTTTATTTATAGCATGCTGTCAGATGCAAAGCTACTCCCTTTTACTAGTCAAGTTTAATCTCAGCCGCAGATAAACCTGTTAAATACAAGGAAAATTCATTGCAATGGCGTGCGCAATGGAAACAGTCAATAAAAGTCATTCGTCAAGCCAGTCTGAGATTGCCTAACCTTGTTAATTATTTTCAACGAGTACATTAAGGAAGACCTGAAACCCATTTATACACAGAGCTGGACAATTTTCCTGTTTTTAACGGCCTGTCACGAAAAAATCTAGTTGTATACTAACGCGACATTTGCTCTCCAAAATTGCTTTCATTTTCATCACCTATCATGCCTCTAGATGCTTGTCATTAAATTAGATAGATATACAGATGCATTGGGGGTACGCGCACCCCTGAAATTACGCTGAGAGTAGCGAAAACTGGAATGGTGAGCTGTGCCTAACTTGCCGTAATACAGAAAGAGAAGATGAGAGCCCAGGTAAAACTCACGTTCGCTGACAACTGCGTGGGGATCCAATTTGCTATATATTTGCCCATATTACTGTGATAATACGAGTAGGGGGACCTCGACCACGCTGAAATAATGTACCAGCCTATGCGGAGTACGGAATTCTGTTTATTGCGTGACGTGCTGATTGTGGAATGAGTGGACTCGGTAGTTCTCTGCTGAATGAAGCTATGGAATAGTGTAATAAATGGGTTTCACGATGTCTATGTTTAAATAAATGGGTCTACGATGTTTGCACGGCTGAAGCCAACTAAGTTAGCGGCCACGGGATGTGTGATTGCCACTCTGGCCTTCAGAGCCGTGCAAATAGGCCCAGCCCGAATATTGAATCGTGTTCAGCCGATCCGGCCTTGTCAACATTGGAAGCACGACTGTGTCAGTTAGCGTACAATGTATACGAGAGGATTGTATCAAATGAGAAAACAGCTTTTCAATATTGAAAGCTGTAGTAAATAGATTCGAGTTACAATTGGGAAAATTTAAGAAAAGATGTTGTTTTACAGTTCTTTGTATATTGCAAAGCGTGAACTTCGAAATTTATATTGTCATTCGGCTTTAGGGCCATATTCACCACCGCTGTCGTGGCTGTAATTATGTCGTCTCCCTCAAAAAGATACATTACTATTTCTCATACAACTGGATTTAGGCATTATAATGCACGTCCACTGGTCAGTGTGGTCCCGTATAGAAAATCGGTATTTACTTGTCTTGTATTTTCTAGATAGCTGACTTTAAGGTGACTCGTTTAAGTATTGTTTAAACGAGTGCAAGGCCAACATGTTCTCTAAGCCCTGGTTGCATCTCGTAGACAGCAAGCATTGTAAACACAAGTACTGGATTGAAGGGTGTACTCTATAGCCATTAAAATGGTTATTTCATCATACCCCTACTTACAGATCTATTCATTTGTCAACTGGATTTCCCTTTGTTAACGAACGTGTATTCGCCGCCTCTGAACTAGCCGGTTACCTACAGAGTAGTTTTACGTGTGTCCACATTATGATCAGACATTCATTTAGCAAACTAATCTGTATTGTCCTACTTATTTCATACATCATCATAATCATGCAAAAATTACAATAATACAAGATGAAATCGATCAGACAAACAGCTTGTTACTCCCGCTACGGGTATAAGGCAAGAGACGCTAGCTTATAAGGCCGAAATGTGTCTCCACCTTTCTCTCCCTCTTATATCTCCCTGAATATAAATATACGCAAGGAGTTATCAAGTAGGTTGAAGGCCTTGTATTAAGTTGAGACCTCTGGTCGATTTAGGTTCTGCTTTTAGCGCTCGAGTCAAACAGCAAATGTATCTCGATAGCAGGCATTTTCTAGCAAATCTTACAAAGTGCTTTTTGTGAAGCAATGAATTTCTACTCGGAAAACATGGACATGACATATTTTGTTTATTTATGTCCTCGTCTTTTATTTAAAATAATTGATGTTCACGATACCGCCATATTTACTAGGAACTCGCATCAGACGGCGAGTAACGCTTAGTCCATTAAACACCGTTCGATTCGTGTTCGCATGCGCGGTAACGCACAATGCAAGCGGTACAACGAGGAAGTGTTTTCATGCAACGAAATGAATCTTTTGAAATGTCGAGTTTTGTTAAAATGCACATACTGTTGTGAAATAACTCGATGGGCCTCATTCAAGAAAGCATATCCAAGCTGCCAAGCGTATACAATTGAAATAGAAGCACGGAAATACAATATCCATTAAGAAATAATAATTCTGGCTTTTGTCTTAAAAAAAATGCAGATATGATCGAATCGGAA